ACACTTTCCATTATGGTAGCGCAGAGTGTAATGAGCTTTCTCCAGCCATTTTTTTAGTATTTTTTTAGTTTAAAATTTTATACGCTCCCTGATAACCTGCTAGCTCATGATGCTCACCTGTCGGCAACGCAGATCAGATTCATGTCCTCGATGAGTGCTAGCGAGTGCGGAATGGCAAATTCAGACGGACCGACTTCATCTGAAATGCAACCTCGTCAACAACCCTCTCTACACACAGACAACACGCGAAAAACGCTTTGAAACGGCAGAATGCAATTAGAGCCTCGAGAGCAGCCCCCTCGCGTCCCCCCTCGCCCCTTTATCCTCTCGACTCGGGCTCAAGCTGCCAACTACTCAACAACACTGCAGAAAAAATCCATAGATGAACACGATGTCTCTTGCCTGGGCAATTAATTATTACCGACACTGAGAACGGAAGCGAAACTGACAGTCATCGTTCCATTAGCTTAATGCGAATGCAATGATAGCTGCTGTGAATGATGTCAATGCATGCGGCCATGAACAAACAACAACTTTCAGCACAAATCTGTTTACACCAAATAGCCTTGTATCAGTAGCCTCAGGGTTTATGGTGGCACTTAAATGTTTAAAGCACCCCTTTCTGATGGAGAGCTCTTGCACAACATCTCTCTTCACAGAAAAATTCGCTGAAATTCATGGAAAAAATTAGGGACACAGCAAGGGGCAAAGGGGTGATCCGCGATCCTCATTAAGCGTCTTTTTATCAGTTATATAGAGAATCCGAAAGAGTAAAGGAATCGCCAGGAGAAGAATCATGAATCTGAATCGCCAGGAGAAAAATCATGAATCTATCTCAGAAAAACTCCTCTTTGATCTCGAACTTCAGTAGGGTTCTCTCTTTGAGTTCATCCAGAAAAGTGGCCCGCGAAACCCTGAACCCTGTCACCACCTGAGTAACTTGGCCCACTCGCTTAGAAATCGTCCCTACAATGTCCCACCCAGAAATCGTAGTTATTACCGTACCTTAGCACTTCAACAGATACACTTTTCCCTGGAGTTCGCTCCTATGCTCTCTTTCCTACTCTTCCTCCCCCCTCCCCTCCTGTGAAAGACTTTGTGCAGTGATTCTGATCCTATGCGAGAAAGTTTTGGACTAAAATGTTTTACATGTCAATCCTACGTTGTTTACTAGTAACAACGGGGGGGTCGTACCTGGTTGAGTTTATAGGGGGGGGGGGTCGTTATCCGCTTCAGTCGCGTGAAAGTACATGTGAGGTTTGTGGTGAAAGTGGAGTTTTCACGAGTAGTAGGCTAGGTGAGTTGGGAGAGCGCATGGGAGAAATCAGGATATGTATCAGAACTAAATAAATACTATAGGAGATGATGATGGTGGTCGAGGTGTCGAAAAGGGGGTCGTACCAGTCCACCTTGGGGGGGGGTCGTAAAAATTTTTGAAAAAGTAACAACGATAGGACTGACCTGTTAATAGGGGGCTTCGTTCAGGGTGGCGGTGCAGCTTTTTCAAAACAATTCGGGGTGACTATATAGTGGGGCCACGCGGGGAACGCCAGAACATGGGTGGTTTTCATTGAATAGCTCGAATACCAGAAGACGGGGTCCCCAGTTCGATTCCTCGTGGTGACGAATTTTCGCATTTCGGTGCCATTTTTGCGTTTTTGCACGATAGTGGGGCCGTTTTGGTGTCACACCCTTTTCACTAGTTTTTTTTTTAAACAAAAGTCTATTGTAAGGGTACTGACGGTCCTAACCATGAGTCATGGTACTAATTATCCATGCTAATCCATTTTGGCACGTCAACTCGAAATGCAAAAATTTGTCACCACGAGGAATCGAACTAGGGACCCCCTTTTCTGGTATTCAGAGGGTTCAGGAAAAATTAACCATGGTTCTGTGGTTCCCGCATGTGCCCCTATATCATGCAAAAGACCGTTTTGAAAAAGCTTGGCACACCCTGAACGATATCCCTTGTTAGCGTGCGGAACTATGTCCTTAAGGTGTCTAAAATATTAATATTACGAAGCCCGCTATTTCCTAGAGAGAGTTCATTTGCACTTTTGTTGCCATGTGAGGGGAGATTGAATTTCAGTTGAGGTTGTTAACAGAAAAGCTTGAGTTGGCTCGAAGCTTAGACAAAGTGGTGATAAAAGCCAAGCGTTCAAGTGGAAGTATACGATTTTGAAGTACAGTAAGTTGATCGTAAGACACACGTACCACCAGCAGCTCCGAAGCTGTCGACGAGTTTTCCACTGGGATCAAACTTGAGCACTCGACTGTTACAGTATCCATCAGCAACGAAGAAATAGCCGTTCTTGGCTACGGCAATGTCAGTTGGCTTACAAAAGTGATGTCCATCACTGCCAGGAACGAGTTTTTCTCCAAGTGAGAACACTGGACGGAATGAGGAGTCCAATTTGTGCACCTGAAACACACCGTTAGGACCGTGATGTTGGTGGGCTGCACCTGAGGGCTCACCTGGTGGCTTCCGACGTCGGTCACCCAATAGTTTCCCTTCTCGTCGATTGTGATACCGTGCGGCATGTAAAACAAATTCTGTCCATGTTCTTCGATAATCTGCAACATTAAAAATTGTTTTTTTTACAAATTCGTAGTTAAGGAAAGTCCCTCTTGAAGTTTCCCAACCATGCTGGGTTATAAACAAAACTTTCGTCCTAGGGGGAGAGCGGGTCGACCCGCTAAAGACCTTTGGTCCACGGCCACATAGGCTGCTGAACAAAAGTTCCGGCTCAAGGGTGGGGGTCGACCCGTTTAAAGGCCATTGGTCCACATAGGCTGCAATCCTTATCAATACATAGCTCATTTTCTATGGCGTCAAGTCACTTTTCACAATCCATTAATGATGGCGATTGTTAATCTTATCAGCGCTACATTCATTGCCTTAACAAAGGGGTTCTCATACACATAATTGCGATTACAGAGCAAAGATTGTGCAGAGGAGCGATAAACAATGAGATCTCTGAAATACGGTGCTAAAGAGCGCCCAGTAACCATAGGTCCTTTGGTTGCACCGCACCCCACACTTTCTTTGAAAATACAAT